GTGCATTTTACTTAAGTCTCCAGCTTCCGCACCTGTGCCCCAGGCCACGCACCTGCGGGCTCGCTGGTGTGGTCAAAACCTCCGCTCCTACGAGAAATACCGCATCTGCGGTTGCTTCCCACGTCTGCGATCATCGCACCTGCGGTCCTCACTCCGCAAGTGCGTAAACAACAGAAACAACAAAATCTGCAGCGACAATTCAAAGCCAAACCTTTCGTCAACCACCCAAATCCATCCCGAGGCCCTCGGGACCTCAACCAAACATGCCAATAAGTCACATATCACCATTCAAACTTATTCCATTCTTCGGAACACTCAAAACAACCTCAAAACATCAAATCACCCTCGGATTCAAGCCTAAGGATTCCAAAACATTCGAATTCCACAAACAATGTAAAAACCTACCAAACCTCATCCGAATGACCTGAAATTTTGCACACACGTCACATATGACCCAACGGACCTACTCCAATTTTCGGAATTCCAATCCGATCTCGATATCAAGATTTCCACTACCGACCGAAAAATGCCAAATTCCTAATTTTGCCAATTCAAGCCTAAATCTACTACGGACCTCCAAATTACATTCTGAACATGTTCCTAAGTCCCAAATCACCTAATGAAGCTATCCAAACCATAAAAACCCAATTCCGAGATCATTCACCCACAAGTCAACTTCCGGTTGACTTTACCAACTAAATAACCAACTTAAGAGACTAAGTGTCTCATTCCACCCTAAGACCACTCGGAAAACAACACCACCAACACGATATGATGAAATGCAGCGGAACAATACACAAGGAAGCAGAAAAGGAGGAAACAGGGCGATAACTCATGAAATGACCGGCCGGGTCGTTACATCCTCCCCCTCTTAAACAAATGTTCGTCCTCGAACGTGTCAAAAAACATACCTGAAACCTCAAATAGGTGTGGATATCTGCTCCGCATCTCCCGCTCGGTCTCCCAGGTAGCCTCCTCCATGGGCCGACCTCTCCACTGCACTTTTACTGAAGCTATATCCTTTGATCTCAACTTTCGAACCTGCCGCTCCAAAATAGCCACTGGCTCCACATCATAAGACAAATCACCGTCTAACTAAACCGTGCTGAAATCCAAAACATGAGACGGATCACCAATATACTTCCGGAGCATAGAAACATGAAATACCGGATGCACGCTCGACAAGCTAGGTGGAAAGGCAAGCTCATAAGCCACCTCCCCAATCCTTTGAAGCACCTCAAAAGGCCCAATGAACCGAGGAATCAATTTACCCTTCTTCCAAATCTCATAACACCCTTCATGGGTGAAACCTTCAGTAGAACCTTCTCCCCAACCATGTAAGACACATCATGAACCTTCTTGTCAGCATAACTCTTTTGTCTCGATTGCACTGTACGAAGCCGCTCCTGAATCACTTTCACCTTGTCCAAAGTATCCTGTACCAAGTCTGTACCCAAAAGCCTGGCCTCGCCCGGCTCAAACCATCCTACTAGAGATCTACACCGTCTCCCATATAAAGCCTCATATGGAGCCATATGAATACTCGACTGATAACTGTTGTTATATGCAAACTTCGCAAGCGGTAGAAACTGATCCCATGAACCCTCAAAATCAATGACACAAGCGCGTAACATATCCTCTAATATCAGAATAGTGCGCTCGGACTGCCCATCCGTCTGAGGGTGAAAAGTTGTGCTCAACTCAACCTGAGTACCCAACTCTCGCTACACGGCTCTCCAAAACTGCGAATCGAACTGAGTACCTCTATCTGAAATGATGGAAACTGGGACACCATGCAAGCGAACAATCTCTCGGATATAAATCTCTGCTAACCGCTCTGAAGAATAGGTAGTACATACCGGAATAAAGTGCGCGGACTTGGTTAGCCGATCCACAATCACCCAAATAGCATCGAACTTCCTCAAAGTCCGTGGGAGCCCAACTACAAAATCCATGGTGATCCGCTCCCACTTCCACTCTGGAATATCTATCTACTGAAGCAAGCCACCCGGTCTCTGATGCTCATATTTCACCAGCTGACAATTGAGACACCGAGCTACAAATCCCACAATATCCTTCTTCATTCTCCTCCACCAATAATGCTGTCTCAAATCCTGATACATCTTCGCGGCACCCGGATGGATGATACCCCGAGCTATGGGCCTCCTCCAGAATCAACTCTCGAAGCCCATCTACATTGGGCACACATATTCGGGCCTGCATCCTCAATACCCCATCATCACCAATAGTCACATCTCTGGCATCGTCGTGCTGAACTCTGTCCTTAAGGACAAGCAAATGAGGATCATCATACTGGCGCTCTCTGATGCGATCAAACAAGGAAGACCGTGAAACCACACAAGCTAAGACCTGACTGGGCTTCAAAATATCCAACCTCACAAACTGATTGGCCAAGGGATGAACATCAACTGCAAGAGGTCTCTCCCCGACAGGAATATATGCCAAACTACCCATACTCACCACCTTCCTACTCAAAGCATCGGCCACTACATTGGCCTTCCCCGGATGGTACAAGATAGTGATATCATAGTCCTTTAGCAGCTCCAACCATCTCCGCTGCCTCAAATTGAGATCCTTGTGCTTGAACAAGTGTTGAAGGCTTCGATGATCAATAAACACCTCACAAGAGACACCATAAAGACAATGCCTCCAAATCTTTAGCGCGTGAACAATGGCAGCCAACTCTAGATCATGAATAGGGTAGTTCTTCTCATGGGGCTTCAACTGACGAAAAGCATAAGCAATCACTCTACCCTCCTGCATCAACACACACCCAATACGAACTCTCGAAGCATCACAATACACTGTATATGAACCTGAAGCTGATGGGAAAACTAATACCAGAGCTGTGGTCAAGGCAGTCTTGAGCTTCTGAAAGCTCGCCTCACACTCATCTGACCACATGAAAGGGGCACCCTTTTGGGTCAATTTGGTCAAGGGTGATGCAATAGATGAAAATCCTTGAACGAAACGATGGTAATAACCTGCCAAACCAAGAAAGCTATGAATCTCTATGGCTGAGGACGGCCTGGGCCAACTCTGAACCGCCTCTATCTTCATCAGATCAACCTGAATACCCTCACTGGACACCACGTTCCCCAAGAAATCCACTGAGCTGAGCCAAAACTCACACTTGGAGAACTTTGCATAAAGCTTCTCCTCCCTCAATTGCTGCAATACCACTCTCAAATGCTCAGCGTGCTCCTCCTGGCTATGCGAGTATACCAGAATATCATCAATGGATACAATGAAAAATGAGTCGAGATAAGGCGGAAACACACTGTTCATCAAATGCATGAACGCTATCGGGGCATTGGTCAGCCAAAAAGACATCACGAGGAACTCATAATGACCATATCGAGTCCTGAAAGCTGTCTTAAGAATATCCGAGTCCCTGATCTTCAACTGGTGATACCCTGACCGGAGATCAATATTGGAGAACACCCTCGCTCCCTGAAGCTGGTCAAATAAATCATCAATACGAGGCAGAGGATACTTTTTCTTGATTGTGACTCTGTTCAACTGCCTATAATCAATGCGCATCCTCATCGTGCCATCCTTCTTCTTCACGAATAGAACTGGCGTACCCCAAAGCGACACACTAGGCTGAATAAACCCCTTATCAAGGAGTTCCTAAAGCTGCTCCTTCAACTCCTTCAACTCCGCCGGTGCCATACGATACGGTAGAATGGAAATAGGCTGAGTGCCCGGCACCAAATCAATACCAAAGTCAATATCCCTGTCCGGTGGCATGCCCGGCAGGTCTGCAGGAACTACAGCTGGAAAATCCCTCAATATTGGGACTGAATGAAATTACCCTACTAGGAACAAAATCGGTCGAACCTCGCCACTCAATCCATGGCACACCCGGCATAGCCAACGTCACTATCTTAGCATGACAGTCCAAAATAGCACGACATGGAGATAACCAATCCACCTAATATCACATCAAAATCCACCATACAAAGCAATAGAAGGTCCACTCGGGTCTCCAAACCCCCAATAGTCACCACACACGACCAATATACACGATCCACAACAACAGTATCACCCACTGGAGTAGATACACGAACAGATGAAACCAGAGACTCACGAGGCGTATCCAAATAACGAGCAAAATATGATGACACATATGAAAAAGTAGAACCAGGATCAAATAACACAGAGACATCTCTGTGGAAAACTGAGACAATACATGTAATCACCGCATCGGAAGCAATAGCATCGGGTCTGGCTGGAAGTGCATAGAAACGGGCCTGACCACCACCCGATCGACCTCCCCCTCTGGGGCGTCCTCTAGCTGACTGTCCTCCACCCCTAGCTGGCTGGGTGGGTAGTGAAGTAACTGGCGCTGAAGTCGATGACTGACTGCTCTGCTGAGGCGGACCCCCAAGACGACGAGGACACTGCCTCCACATATTCCCCAACTCCCCACACTCATAACAACCCCCTGGTGCTGGAGATGGGGACTAAAGGGAACCCCTAGCACCCTAATGACTAGCAGAAGAACCTGGCATGGAAGAGCCCTAAACTGATGGAGCACGGGATGAACTCTGGACTGGAAGGGCACTAAGTGAGGAATAGCCCTGATGAGAACTATGAGAACCATGGCCCGATGATGCCCACGATGCGAGCTAACTGAGCATGTCTGAATGGACGGCCTCTACCGTGCTGAAACTGACCCCCATGAGGAGCACCACTAAATCCACCCTGACCACGAGGCCTCTTAAGCTCCCTCTCAACCCTCTCCTGACCACGAACCATCTCAATCTATCAAGCTATGTCAACAACCACTACAAGAAAGCTGATCTACAGTGGCGACTTTAAGTGGCAACTCACTTGGTCGCTACAAAAGATTAGGGTATAGCAGCGATTAATGTTGTCGCCGCTGAAAGCAACCTATCAATGACGACTAAAAATGAGTCGCTACAAAAACTAGTGATTTCGCACAGCCCCGGTAAAAGCCACAAAGTATTTGTGATGACTTTTGTTGTCGCAACTGAACCTATCCTATTCAGTCACCCCTAATTGTGCTATTTTGTACAAAAAACGAAAAAATAAACCCTAAAGTAACAAATCTCCTCCTCGTAAAATCTCTAACTTGCTCCACCTTCTCAACCCCAAATCATCTTGAACTTGCTCCTCACTGAAGAGGGTCACACACTATCGATGGTGAACACACTCCTTTTTGTCTCATTATCCGTCAAATCGAGCTCTGACTTCCTTCATCATTTTTTCCTCTCTAGATTTTGTGCTCTCTGCTCTGTTGAGGTGAAAAATCTAATCCTATTTCTGTATTGTGATGCTTTACGGACTATGCTCATATTCAGGAGAAGCGATTACATCTGATGTTGATTGGTGCATTTTTGCGGCATGAGATTTAGGGTAAGCACGATCTTTAGCGATTTTTGGTTATTTAGTGTTGCAAAAGTGTAAAATTAAGGCTTTGCGATGATATGGGATCTTCTTTTTAATATAATATTTGCGCTCTCAAGCTTCAAAATCAGTGGGTTTGATAATATTTTGGAAATTTTAGGGCTTTTTTACTTGAATAACTCGGTGCTTTGGAGTGTTAGATTTTAGGTAATTTTTGAAGCTTTTGGAATGATTCAATGCTCCTTTCTCTTAGTTATTGATTGCTAATAGCATAGATTTTAGGTCTCTGGGTGAGAATTTGTGTTAATTTGCTTTGTTACTTTTTCAACAAATGTTTTAAGATAGGAAAGCAAAATAGACTTAGAGGTTGGTCCATCTTGTGATTTTTTAAATGAAAAGAGAATCTTGGATTTCACATGTATTTGGTTAGTTGGTTTATTAAGTATTTGAGATGCTCATCTAATCAGATTGGTTGCTAAGTAACTAATTGGCCAAATTGGAACCAACTGCTCTTTGTCATCACCAATTTCTGCTTATTTGTTTATTAAATGGATGTCACAAACAGGTTATTCTTGGAGACATTTAACTTATTGTGAACTGCATCAAAATATCTGATAGAATATTCTTCTCATGTTTAATATTACAATAGCCTCCTCTTAGAAACTACCTCATGAACTTTATTCAAGTTTTTATTCTTTTTAATCACCTTGTATTAGATTTTATCATCAAAGTATTGTTCCTTAATGTAGAAGTTGGAAAACTAGTTATTGAAAGCTGTATTGGCATGTGATTAAGTCGAAAGTATTTTACACTTGGCAAGGTAAATCATTTTTTGCTATCTTTAAACCATTTTTATTTCCTCGTTCTTGTAGTGGCGACTAAGTGTCTAGGTTGTTCTTAAATATTAGTCTTAAGCTCATGATAGAATAGTGGCAGTTAAGTGTTCTAGTTTTGTGATAGAGATATTACATGCATGTCCAAGTTATACATTTATAGTTGGTTCATGAGTTACAAACTTGCGAGTTATACACAATTTTTCCTTAGTCATGTATCTGAATGGCCGCAGGTCAGTGGTTGTATTAGCTGAGTTTCTCATGATTTTTTGGGCTTGATGTTGGCTAACTCAATGTGGAGCTACATATAGGGAAAACCAAAGGAAAGTAAGCTCTATTTGACTTTATTCATTTGGTGTGGGTAATTTGTGATTTGATTTGTTGATTTTGTAACTGCATTTCCTCTGTTATCGTGGAGAACCAGCTCTTTTGGTTCTTACTTGTTCGTTTAGTAATTCCATTGTGTCATCCGATGATGGCAATTAAAATTTAAAGAATGGTTCAAGTTGTAAATAAATGTTGAAGGCTATTTGAAACTAGTGAATTGACCTATATATGTTGGTCAGTTAAAATATAGAATGATCTACAAAAAGTTTCCTGGGGAAAAAAGATGAAATAAGAATAGACCTGGAAAGAAAGAAAGGAAAAGCTTGTTGGTAATACACTAATACACCTTGGTATTAGTAGTGGTTGCTTGAAATATCTAGAATATACAACAAGTGTTCAAATAAAAAGTATTCTAATTAAAACCACTTCACAGAACCTGTGATATATTTTGTGCTATTGGATTATCTATAAGATTTTATCTTTTGTTGTTATTTTAGTTCAGTTATTTATATTACAGATAGTGGACAATTGTAGAGTATATTAAACTACCACACTGTTTGCTATTGTGGTCATAGACCAGTAATAACTAATAAGTAGTTGGTTCAGCTAAATCTTGCTTCTGCAATTTGTATTCTTTTTTCCACAATTCAGTGATATTGAATAGACTTAAAGATGTTTAAGTCGCATGAGGTTGACCTTATTGTGCACGGAAAAAGGGATAGAATTGATATTGCACTATGAACACTTCATCTCATAGGATATAGTTTTTCTTGTAGGTCTTCTCAACACACTTTATCTCTGGAATTTGGTTTATGAGTTTCTTGAAGTGCACATCTTATTCCAACCAAAGTAATATGAGATTAAAGCATGAATGCAGTGAAAGGGGGTAACTTTAGTCTTCATTTTGATCGTGACTTTAAAAAAGCATATTAATAGGATTACATCATTCCATTTTTATGGTATCAAAATGTGTTGTCTAACAAATCTTCCGAAATTTCTTCTATAGGTGGTAACGGAACTGTCCAAAGTGTGCGCAAACGATAACGGCATGCCGTCTTATGGAACATCACAAAGGAGCTGCACATGCGGATACGCCAACATTATTCCCTAGAGATTTTGTTCAGGATTTTTCTCGCACCTGCGACTGCATTCTAGGATACGAGAGAAAGTCATGGTCTTCAGGAGGAAATGATTCTAGCCAAGGAGGAGCTCCAAGATATTTTATTTTCATGTTGTAACTTTTTTGCGTGTTTCATGTGTGTACACAAAAAACAGGAGTTACGTCTTATTCCCGAGGAGATCTTTTAAGGAACTAAGAATACCACAGAAGAATGTGTCATTCTGTTTGAAAATTGTCTTCAATGGTGTCTCTTATAATGTTAATGGGTTGTCGTAATATACATTTGTGCAATATTAGTATGAATTTGATGCTGAATATTTGGAAAAAAAATATCAAATACAACTATTTGTGGCGACCAAGGTCGTCACTAATGCACGGTTATAGTCGCCACAACAAGTCATTTTTCAATGGGGATATTTGTCAACTTTTGTGGCAAGTATAGTCGCCACTATTGAGGCTTATTAATGGCGACCCGACAATATTGCCACAAATAACATTTAGTAACGGTTTTACTAGGAGTGACCTTAAAGTCGCTGCTATTTGTTTTTAGTGGCGACTATTGGGGCTTTTGTGGCGATTAATGTCGCCACAAAAAGTGTCGCCACAAAAAGGCCAATTTCTTGTAGTGAACCTCATAAAAGGTAGCACCAGATACTCTCTCTCTGGTCATAAGCAACCTTAGTTGAAAACTGAGGCCATCTATAAACCACCTGATCCTCTCTTGGTCAGTGGGAACCAACCAGACCGCATGACGAGCCAACTCAGAGAATCGCATCTCATACTATGTAACAAACCTATCACCCTGAAGAAGCTGCTCGAACTGCCTGCGCAGCTTCTCTCGGCGAGACTCAGGTACAAACTTCTCCAGGAAGAGAACGGAGAACTGCTGCCAAGAAAGGTGCACTGCGCCAACCGGCCTACGTTTCTCGTAAGCCTCCCACCAACTAAGTGCAACCCTGGAGAACTGGAAAGTAGTGAACGAGACCCCACTGGTCTCCAGAATACCTGCGGTTCGAAGCATCCTCTGACACTTATCCAAAAAACCCTGTGCATCCTCACCGTCAGCACCACTAAATGACGGAGGCTAAAGTCTACCAAACCTCTCCAAATGCGCTGCTCGTCCTCTGGCATAACAGGAGCTACATAGTCCTGAGCAGCTACAATCGGCTGGGCTGGAGGTGCCCCCGGTGTCTGAAGTCCCAGCACGACCTGCTCAGGTGTGCGAGCGGTGGGAGTCTGAGTGCCTCCCCCGGCCTGAGAAGTAGCTGCGGCCGTAGTAACTGAGACCGCTTGAGCCAGGCCAGTGCACACTGATAGAATCTGGGCCAGGGCCTCCTGAAGGCCTGGGATAACAATAGGCACAGCCGGTGCCTGAGCTGGTACTGCTGGAGCGTCTGCAACTGGGACCTAATCATGAACTGGGACGGCTGGTGGATCTGCAGGTGCTACCCTAGCTGTTGTGCGGGCTGCACCCCTGCCCCTACCACGGCATCGACCGCATCCTCGGCCTCTAGTGGCCCCAACTGCTGGTACTGGTGGTCATCCGTCCTGACCGATAGCACGTGTCCTCACCATCTGTGAGAGAATAGAATAATAGAGGTTTAGTTACCAGAATCAACATATTCGCACGACAGGAATTCAAGAACGTGATGTTTTCCTAAAGGTTCTGCAGCCTCTCGAAGATAAGTACAGATATGTCCGTACCGATCCGCAAGACTCTATTAAACCAGCTCATGACTTGTGAGACCTATGTAAACTAGGCTCTGATACCAACTTGTCACGACCCTAAAACCGACCCAGTCGTGATGGTGCCTATAGTGAAACTAGGCTAGGCGACACAAATCCCAAATCAAACCAGTATTTCATAAAAGACATTTTTAAGCTATTAATTAATAAAATCTCATAACATGAGTCTAAATAACAAGTGCGGAAAATAACACAAGCCTGACATCGGGGTGTCACAAGTCACGAGCATCCACTAAGGTCTGTCTAAGTACAATAAAGACTATCATAGTCCGGAAATAAAGATACTAAAAACAGTCTAAGGAAGATAAGAGGGAGAAGTGCAAGGCTGCGAACGCCATGCAGCTACCTTGCCGACTCCGAAAAGACCTGCTGGATGAACGATCAGCGCTTGCTATCACGACCTGCAACTCCTGGATCTGCGCACAAGGTGCAGGGAGTAATGTGAGTATGCCAACTCAGTAAGTAATAAGAGTAAATGAAAATCGAGCAGTAAGAAATCAGATAATCCCACTTCATAGCACTACAGTAAGTACATTACATTTCCAAAACAGTATAGAAATCTTTTATCTCATTAAAAAATACAATTTTACTAAAAGAAAAAATTCTTTCAAAATGTCCTTCTAGCAGTTTAAGCAAATAATCAATGAAGTTTAGGGTAAAAAAAATGATGAGAATCTTAAATAGTCCCTCGGGCAAGACATGTATCATAAATCGCCCCTCGGGCATAATATCAACAGAACCAGCCCCTCGGGCTACCTCACAATCACTCGTAATCAGTCCCTCGGGCACAATATGTGTCAGGATCAGCCCCTCGGGAAAAACATATCACTCACTCTGGGTACCTGCGCTCACTGGGGTGTACAGACTCCGGAGGGGCTCCTACAGCCCAAGCGCTATCACAAGCCATCTCGTGGCATAATAAATCAGGCCCTTGGCCTCTCATATATCACAAAACAATACAACATGGTGCGGCGCGCAGCCCGATCCCATGATATCCTCACAACACAGGCCCTCGGCCTTGCTCAGTCAGAAACCTCTCAAGCCATTCGGGCTAACAGTAAAACAGGGTGCTCAGCCCAAAATATCATTTATGCATCAAATCAGAGTAAATAAGACTGAGTTATGAAATCAGTAAAATATAGCATGACTGAGTACAGTTATTGAATCAAAGCAGCGAGGAATATTAGCAAAAGAATGCCCCTAAGGGTCCAAATCATTGGCACGAGGCCCAAATACGGCGTTCAGCCCAAAACATAGTAATACTTTCTAACATATGATAGTATCAAGTAGTTTCAATCAAATATGCAACTTAATAGTTGCTACGGGACGGACCAAGTCACAATCCCCAATGGTGCACGCCCCTCATGCTCTCTATCAAGCGTGTGCGTCACCTCAAAATAGTACAACGATGTGAAATCCGGGGTTTCATACCCTCAGGACAATATTTACAATCATTACTTACCTCAAACGGGACCAAACTCTAACCAGCGATGCCTTTGCCTCTCGACTCGCCCTCCAAATGCTCGAAATCTAACAAAAATGTATCACACCATTAATACACGCCAAAGGACCTAAGTCCAAGCAAAGATAATCAAATTAACTCAAAAGTCCCAAAATTGGCCAAACCCGACCCCCGTGCCCACATCTCGTAATCCGATAAAAATCACAACACTAGAATCCTTATCCCCTTACGAGTCTATACATACCAAAATCACCAAAATCGGACCTCAAATGCCCCCTCAAATGCCCAATCAAAGCTCTCCAAAACTCAAGCCCTAACCTTCAATTTCACCCCAAATTCCCCACTAATTTCATGATTAGGTAGTGCAAAAATCATCACAAACACCAAATACAAAGCCCAAGTAACATACCTTACTGAAACCCCTCGATTCAACCTTGAATTCACAGCTTGGAGCTCCAAAATCGCACAAAAATGGTGAAAGAATGACTGAAATTCGCGAAGGGGCCTTTTTATACATTCTGCCCAGCACTTTCGCACCTACGGCCCAATTCACGCACCTGCAGGACCGGACCTGCAGTCCAAACGTCGCATCTGCGCATTTCACTTAAGTCTCCAGCTTTCGCACCTGCACCCCAAGCCACGTACCTGTCGGCTCGCAGGTGCGGTCGAAACCTCCGCTCCTGCGACAAATACCGCATCTGCGGTTGCTTTCCTCATCTGCGATCATCGCACCTGCGGTCCCCACTCCGCAGGTGCGGAAACAACATAAACAGCAAAATCTGTAGCAGCAATTCAAAGCCAATCCTTACGTCAACCACCCAAATCCATCCCGAGGCCCTCAGGACCTCAACCAAACATGCCAACAAGTCACATATCACCATTCAAACTTATTCCAACCTTCGGAACACTCAAAACAATATCAAAACATCAAATCACCCTCGGATTCAAGCCTGAGGATTCCAAGACTTCCGAATTCCGCAAATGATGTAAAACCCTACCAAACCTCATTCGAATGACCTAAAATTTTGCACACACATCACAAATGACCCAGCGGATCTTTTCCAATTTCCAATATTCCAATCCAACCCCGATATCAAGATTTCCACAGCCGACCGGAAAATGCCAAATTCCCAATTTCGCCAATTCAAGCCTAAATCTACCACGGACCTCGGAATTACATTCCGAACATACTCCTAAGTCCCAAATTACCTAACGAAGCTATCCGAACCATAAAAATCCAATTGCGAGATCATTCCCCCACAAGTCAACTTTCGGTTGACTTTACCAACTAAATAACCAACTTATATGGCTAAACTGATTATGCCAACTGGATAAATTATCAATATTGATAAATTCAGATTTACACCATGACGTGTGCAATTATCAATAAACTCCAAGTTTATTATGATATGGGTTTTTATATTAATAAACATCCACTTTATTGTGGTATTCTCTTATTTGTGTAGTACAAACTGGAGAATAAAGCGGGTAACTTTTCACATACATATTACCCCGCTATAAGTTGTAGTAATAGAAGATATTAAATCTTTTCTTTATTTATAGTCTCAATATAATCAACCTGCTTTCGCGTATACTTTGGAAACTGAATAAGTTTCTTTGAGACTTACAAAAACACAATACCTTATTGGTAATCAATTGTGTTTCTCCAAAATAGTAATAATTGGCTCTTCCAGAGCTCTCAATTAATTTGGTACTACCACATATTCATTGTAACGATCCGACCGGTCGTTTTGAGCTCTAGCGCGTCGTTCAGCAGTTTGAGGCCATGAGCAGCACCATTTCAGGTATTACGACTTGTACGCGTGGTCGGAATTGAATTTCGGGAAGTTCGGGGTTGATTCGGAAGGAGAATTCTCATTTCGGAAGCTTTAAGTTGAAAGAATCAACTAGGATTGGATTTTTGAGTAAACGACCCCGGAATTGGGATTCGAAGGTTCCAGTAGGTTCGTATGATGATTTAAGACTTGAGCGTATGCCCGAATTGGGTTTTGGATGACCCGAGAGCGTTTTGGCGCCTATTGTGGAAGTTAGCATTTTGGAAGAAATTTC